TCAACTGAAATCCCGCATGAAGAGGTAAGTTAATACTTTGTTGTAAGTTAAAGTTAATGTTTGAGTACTTATTTATGTAATAAAAACTGGTAAAAATTCATAACTTTATAAAAATACTCGCATTTGCTTACGACGTCATCTGCGTGAAATGAAATATTAATAAAAACATAAATATTACTCACTGATAACATAACTATAACATGATTTCAGGTGGCCGCTTGCTCGTTTGCCACCTTATGTTATAAAAAAAAATTGTATTTAGGATTTTTTTTTAAATCGGCCCAGTAGTTATTCAGTTATATCAATACAAACAAAAATACAAATCTTTCCTCTTTATAATATTAGTAAAGATATAGATAAGATACTTTTTTTAAGTTTACAAGTATTCTTACTTCGTAGTTATTTACTTTGTATTACCTTACTTGAAGATAATCTGTACTAATATTATAAAGAGGGAAGTTTTGTATTTTTACATTGAAATAACTTGAACACTATTGGGCCTGTTTCAAAAATCCCGTCACTATAAAAAGCTACTTTATCACTTAGTAACATAGGCTATATTTTTACTACTTTTTCATACCACGTAGACGAAGTCGCGAATAAAAGCTAGTCTATGAATAACTAACCAATTGAATTATTAATAGTCAACGCAATTAGCATTTGTTTTTCTTTACGTCACTATATATATGTACTATCTATACTATAATAAAGCGTAAACAAACACTTCTTTGTTGCCTAAGATGTCAGCAATTACAGCATATTTTAGAATAATCTTTATTTTAATAAAAAGCCCTACACTTACGTCTCGCTTTAGGCTATATATTTTCACGCCATTAAACTTAGGGGTACATATTTTGGATAAAAAACTAATGCGGGAAAGACACCATAAACTACGAGCTGCCAACATCAAGGAAGCAAGGTTTATGCATTTGAATTTTGACATTTGATAAATGTAAACAATAAAGTAAAGTTTTTATAATGTCATGACGAAGCCGCACGAGAGCAGCTAGTATAGTATGAAACAGTTGTTTCCTGTTTGTCTGTCCCTTTGTATGCTTAGGTTTTTAAAACATTTTCAAACGGGTTTTATACAGTTGTTTATTAGATAGAGAGAAATACGGGATTTATATGTACAATGAGAGAGGAAAAGTTAGGTTTATATATATAATACAATACACAATATGTTATAGTAGAGAAATATAATTTTAGAGGTTTCTAATGAGATGTAAATAAAAATATTTATGAGACATTCAATTCGTGCGATGCCGGGGTGGGTCGCTAGTCATCATTAAAGTGTTTATTGTGTTATAACTTATGTTTTTACTTTTAATAACTTAACAATTATATATCACTTTAAATATGGTTTAATTTTTTTTATTTCAAATACTAATATTATAAATGTGAAAGTTTAGATGGATGTTTGTTAGATTTTGTTGTCTAAACGGATGAACGGATTTCGATGAAATTTGGCATAGACGTAGAGATTCTGGAAGAACCATAGACTACTTAGTTTTGTCGTAATTTTACGCGCACGGAGTCGCGGGCGAAAGCTAGTTTCAAATATTTATATCATAGATATTGGTATTGTTTAGTGGTAGAGTCATGTATACAATATTACTAATTATGAAGCTCGCAATACACCTTAGTTTTAACACAGAATTAACTGAATAAACAGGACTGTACATTTAAAACTGAAGATGTGTGGCCAGCTTTAGCTTTCTTGTTCTTTCTAGGTTTTTCTTACAATAAAAGCTTGTCATATTATAATAAAAGAGACGCCTTCATAGCATTTCTTTACTAGGAACTTTTAAAAGAAACTTCAATTCTTAACACCCAGGTTATCGGTTATACTGTACAATATTGCTTCTACACGTATATTTTAACTGAACTGGAGTCCGACACAGTTAAAGCTATAGTTGTCTGGCCAGCTAGAATATCTTAGAACAGATAATAAGCACGAGAACATATCTGTGATATACAAAATAAACATTTAGGCAGTTGATTTAAGCTTTTATAGTTTCTCTAAAAATGTACAGCATAATAAGCTTTCATACGAAATTGTGATAACTTAATTTGGAATATAAAAATATGCAGAACCTAATTTATAATTACAAGAGGACTAAGTCCCGGGCAAAATCTAGCTTACAAATCTAGACACTGGTTTAAAATATTAAATCCCACTTAATGCAAAACTCAGAGACGTTCAGTTTTAATGCCAAATCTACACTAAGGTTACTTCTTAATTAAAATTAAGCAATGTTGCAGTTAAATACGGATCGTTAACCACGATGAGAAATTCTTAGCGCCTGTCCCACCACTGACTGATAGAGGCTCAGATAGCTTAAAAATGACGTCACTGTCAGATAAGATAACAAAATTTGATATTTCCGTCATGTTTTACACGTTGGATTGACATCAGACAATTTACAATTAGACAGACCCTTAGTGGTACAGACCCTTAGTGTCGAATCAAAAAGATCTACACTAAATTGTGTTCATGTACTGAATATGGCAGTAATTTTCCTTTTATTTAGATTGCTTGAATTTATTTAAAAAATTCCAACTAAAAAGTTCTATTAAAATTCTCTGACGTTACCGAATGACCTTTACGTCACTATGACGTAGGCAGGACTCGCTGCAATAAACTACGTCGTTAACTAAACGATATTATACAAATTCTCACAAGTTTCACTTCGAAAAAACAATTCATCGATAGAAATGTAAGTAACACTAATGAAGCTGTAATTACCTTTGAGTTTTATAAAACGTTATTAGTCAACGTATATAATAAACATCATTACAAATTTATTTTATCTAAATTCATTTATTATTTAAATGTTTTATTAAATAATAACTTCAACCCTCTTTAGAACTTTAAGGGTTGCAATAGGTAAAATACCTTAGTGCTCGCATTTATAAAAGAAACCTCTATACATTCAATTCAATTTTATAAGCCCAATAGATTCGATCATGCGTTAAAATCTCAATAAGTTCACTCCTTTATATGTAGATTATGTAAAAAAATATCGGTCCATTTGTTTTTGTGTTATTTCAATACATACAAAAATACAAATCTTTCCTCTTTATAATATAAGTATAGATACAGAAATATAATAAACAATAACATAAAATTAAAACCGTGTAATCCAACCCCGCGTACATTACAATTGTGCATTTGTATTAGCTACAAAATGCAAAATGTTTACACGTGTCGATTCCAACTGAAAGCACTTAGCCTTGACAATTTATACAACTATTATCAATTACGTTATTACGTGGCCTGCACATACGCTCCTTATTTGTTAGCGATAATATATAACTTATAGCAAAACCATTGTTCATATTTAATGCCATTCAACAATAATTAAAACGATATACATATTAAAATAACCTAAAATATCGTATGTCAATTCTGAAAAATAGTGTCAAAGCGTTTGAAACACGCCGTGGTATAGAAAAGTTGTTTTTGAACAAAGAAGTGGACACGAGTCAAAAATAATATTGTGGAGAGGCCCAAGAACTCCGGGCGGATGTTATATAGCTACGTAGATAAAACCTTCCGCCGACGCCAGCGCTGCCCGCGGCGGACACACGAAACTCACTTCATGCTGCGTACACCTCGACACACAAGTTGTGACGAGTAAATACTATCAAATAACCTAATTTATTATTAAAAATTTTCGTAATGGTTTCTTTTAATGTGCTAAAACTTGTTTTATTATGTTTGTAATGTATTTCATTTGAAAATTTTATATAAAGCATGCAACTGAGCTAAAAAATCGCTTACAATGAAAATCTTAATTATAACTACATCGCTTAACAAATAAAAGCTTCTATCTACATTGGGTAATTCTAAAACTAACTCAATTATAACTACATTTTTGTAAATGTAATCTATTATTAAATATCCAATCAGTTTTTTTTTAGAAATTACTCAGGTAATAAAAGTGGAATAAAACAACAGGTTAATTATTTATGTATATTTTGGAAGAAACTATTTTTTACTAATAAACAATAAGAATATTTAAAATCCTTTGGAATGAGCCCAATCGCGTACAATATTAACGTAATCTCCTTTGACTTCTATGAACTTCCCCAGTTCGTGAACTCTTGTTTCTACATACTGTCCCGCTGATTCTTTTAAGTGAGTTTTAAGAATATCATTCAAAAGCCAAATATCGCCCTCTATCTTTTTAATTTGCGTTATCTTACGCATACCTCTAAAAGTTATATTGAGGTAAATTGGGAGCTCATGATTTTTAGTTCTTGATATAAAGTAAGGCAGGTTCAGAGCTTCTTCTTTGGGCGGTATCCAACCCGAGGGGTACTTTTCCTTTGGCCTAACAGCTGGGATGGTGTCAAAAGGTAATAACCTCTCCACATATATCCATTCTGATGGATTTTTTACGACATCATATTCATATTGTTCCTTGATTTTATCTATAAATGGAGAATTAGCATAATTCGAATAGTTCCTGGAAGTAACCTGAAAAAAAAAAAAATATTTAATTTTTGATAATCAACACATTTTTATTATAATACCGTGACTTTAATTTAAATAAAACATAAAGTTTAACAAAATGTAAACTTTAATAAAATTTTCATGTAAAAAATTGTTTGAAAAATAATATGATATATTAAATTTCATGGGAGTAAGCTGTTTGTAGGGGTGTACGCCCATAGCAATGTCACATGTCGCAGTCGAAGCGACATTATAACACGGTGCGAGTGAAAATAATTGAATAATTACCGATATTGGTCCCCGGAACAGTTTTGTACACAAATCAGGAGAGTTGTTCGGGTTCTGTGCAATTTTTCCAATAAAAAGTCGTGCAAACGCACACTGTGAACGCCACACGGTCGCCATTTTGAATAGCGAATAGAGCGATTGCTCGCTACAAGAGCAATAAGAACTATATTATTCGTTTCGAAGGAAACATTATGGCGGACGCCTGCAGACATTTGGGCTTTTCAAAAATCGTTTTCTAAGTTTTATCGCGTGTTTTTATTGAACTTTTTCGCATATTATGGTGTGTTGTGTGTCTTATTAACTATTTATTGTGGTTTTTGGCGGTTCCTTTGGACAAATGGTGAGTATTTTGTGAGGACATTACTGAGGTGCGCCACGGGTAGGGAAATGATTTGGTGCTTTCTGTGGCCGACGCACACGCACTCAGCTGGTAGGTGGCGTTAGGTGTCACTTTGAGAACTCAACCACCAAAACATACCATTTTCATGATTTTTCCGGCCCGATTATCTAAGTAATAAGCAATATAATGTTGTGTTTTGGATTATTTTCTGAATAGTTATTACTTGTTGTTACTATTTATGCAGTAAAGTACAGGGTTAGTGGGTTAAATAGTGTCAAATTAGTGCGCGAACTTGTTGCATAAAAGTACATCAACAATGTTTACTGTGATGTTTTTACGTTGATTTCTGAGCGATTTCTATTAAAATATTTGATTTAATGATTGTTTAACTAAAGAAAAACATCTGTTTATTAGAAAAAGCGGTTTTTAAATTATTTAATTAAGTGTTTTAAACTTTAATACAATTTTAAATATGATAAGTTACAATTACAATGAAAATTTGTAACAATGGTTAATTTTGTAAGGAGATTTATTTGTTTTTTTCTCAATTTCAGGACCAAATGCTGTGGAACTATTCAACTGTCAAATATCACTGTAACATAAACAATCAAGAGTTTTAGCAGGAATTATTTTCCAAACTAAGAATAACTCTATTTATACAATTAATACAGCTTATTTTGAAGTACAATTAAGAACATTGTATACTTAATTGATTAAGGACTTGCAACTGAAGTCTTGATCTGTACTTCAATCATCTTGATTGACTTACCGGACAAACAGTCAGCTTGTGCCTGATGTCGGAGACAAGGAGACATCTGTCAGCTAACATTCCATCATGAAAACTAAACAAATCAAGGAGGAGTCGGACAAGAGTGTTGATGAAGATACAATAGAACCAAAGACTCGTGCCCGGAAGAAAGCCTCGGATATTGCAGATGAAGACAAAAATAAACCCAATCAAGAAGAGAAACCTCCCAAAGAACCCAAAAAAAATGTAGGGAAACCTAAGGCTGTAGTTAAAAAAAGACCTCTCGGAATAAGGAAGACTTTAAGGAATAAGAAAATTGTAGCTGCTAAGGAAAAGCTACGGAATGTTGTAAAGGTGCCGGGCAAGAGAGGCAGGAAGCCTGCCATCAAGCCGGTCCCTGAAACTTGTCAAGAAACCGTCCCATTGATACCTGCTTCTGAAATTAAAAAGGAACCACTTGATGACACAACACCTAACTCTAGGTCCTCAAGTCCTAAAACTGGCAGAAGACAAAGGCTCAGCTCTGACATGTTCATGATGAAATCTGTACTCAATGATTCCCCAAGCTCACTAATGCTGGGGTCCCGGACCAGCCCTTACTCAATGCGTTCAGAGAGAAGTAATAGTCCATCTATGTTTGAAGGGAAACATTTGAGAAGTAGGAAGCCGAGAGGTGCAAAGAGCAAGCTCCTTAGTGAAGTGGTGATGAAAGAACAGAAGAAGAGACGGAGATTGCTTTCTGACTCAAAGGCCACTGAAGCTACAGAGGGTAGTGATGATTGTAAGAAACTAAAAAGAGGACGCTCCTGCTCAAGGGACGGCAGTGAGTTTTCAAAATGCTCAGATGTGACAGAATCCGATGTCAGCCTGAGTGAAACACTCATAGACACGGAGAACAAGGAGCTCAACAAAAACATAGATAAACCTAAGACTGACCTAGATGTAGATATTGAAAATAATGTACAGATCTCGACTATTGCAAAAGTGCCTTCTCTTAAAGTTGACTCTAAATTGTCTGATGCCACGGGGGATGTAGAGCCTAGTTCTAATGTACAGGAAAAGGATAAGAAGAAATTGAGCTTAAAACGGACTACATCAGTAGATTCTGACAACAATAATAGTAATAGGCTTAAGTTAGAAAATTTAAATACATCAGAATTAGAAGCAAAGTTGTTGCCCAAGACTGAACAAAATACGCTTTTTGAAGAACGTAGTAGTATATTGACTAGCATGTCGAGGACATTCAATTCAAAAGAGGTTTCGAAAAATATAAGAAAGGCAAGACGTGGGAAGAAAGTAGCAGGGGCAGGAAGATCAAGTTGTGGGCCGGCTTCTAAGAATGGTATCAACAGCACAATAACAAATGATCAAGCTGATGATAAACATGAAACTTTGGACACCCTGTCTAAAGAAATCAATGATCTCATTAATGATCTGGATCAAAACATAGATCAGGATCAAGAAATAGCAAACAAGAACACAGATCAAATGCCATCTAAACCCGTTGGAAAGTTTTATGGTCTAACAAAGCCATTGGGAGATAGCAACAGTAGTGTTTCTCCAGATACACCTAATAAAGATTTAATATCGCCTTTAACAAATGAAATGACGCCTTCAAAAAGTGATGACAGTGATAATATCCGACTTCGATATGAGGATTCAGTTGAAAAGTCAGCTGATGCCCGGAGACTTGAAATACCATACAACTGTCCGACTGTCGCCAGCATTGACAAGCTGATGGACAGGCTTAAGGAGTTTGAAGAACTGGATAAGAAGAGGCAAAGACAAGAGTCTGAATCAAAAGTAACGGACAGTAAGAGTGTCATGGTGACAAATGATGTTGTGTTGATTCCCAAGTCTGGAGCAGACATCAAACCCTTAAAAGACATACAAACTGTACGGTCACCAGAGAAAATTATTGAAAAGGAGAATGTTTTAAGTTGCTTTGAAAATAATTCAGCTATTTCTATTGTTAAAAGGGATCAAGTGAGGAAGTCCATCGATGTAGATCTCCCTAATTCGGTGACATTGATTAAGAGAAATAGTTTCAGTGCCCGCAAGGAGTCAACAAGCTCAAACCATTCAAAAGAATCTGATGCAATCAGTGTATTTGAAAAATCATTTGGAAAAGATGTAACACTGACTGAACTTAGGAAATCAGTTGACAAAGGATCATCTTCAGCTCAAATAGACCTGCATCAGTTTGCATTACATCCTACCAACACCAATCAGGCTCTAGTTGGTTTAGTTTTAGATTCCAGTCAAATATCCATCACTCCTCGTGTTGTCGAACCGAAAGTCACTGGCGAACAGAAGCGTAAGTCCAGTGAGTCAATATCAAGAAAATCATCCGAATCTGGAATTGAGAATGAAGAAAAAATTACAACAATAGAAAAGATAAAATCGCCAACACATCAGATGAAGTCCCAAGCTATCACTATCATCCCGGCGCCGGTTGCCGTTAAATCTCCGGAGGCTGCACAGGCAATGGAAACCGAAGTTCTCGCTCCACCATTAGATAACGTAAAACCGGTTCCCGCAAATATACCCGTCGCTTCCGAAGTTGTGAACACTGCCGCGTTAGCAGACCCCGAAAATAAACTAGCTAATCTAGACGCAGATATAAATAATCACAATGAGACTGAGAAAACTGAAGCAGCAACAGTTCCTGAAAATGAAACAGTCGTTCCTGACATTCCCGCAAAGGCTGAACCTCCCGTTGAAGTTAAAGAAGTTAAACCTACAGTAGAAACAGTTAAACCTAAAGAAACTCCGAAGGCTAAGGAAAGTATAGCAAAAGTAGTCGAGAAAAAACCAAGCAGCGATTCAAGGAAATCAATTGAAAACCTACCTGAAGTCAAACCTAAAAGTCCAAAAGTGAAATCCGCGCGTAATTCTATAGAGAATCAAGCCGGTCCCAGTAACATGATTCTGGAAACTCCCGAAAGTCAGAAGCGCAAAGAGAACGTGCTACGTACGCTCGGCCTGCTCACACACAAGGCTGCAAACGAGGCTAAGATAGAGAAGGCGAAAGAGAAAGAACGCATTTACGGCTCGAATTACTGCAGCCTGATGGGTAGTAAGAATAAATCCAAATCTGGAGACTATACTGGCACGCTTAAGACTGTGATTAAGTTGCCTCGCAACACGGGAGAAAGGGAGAGGAAGAGACAGAAGACGTCTTTGAAGATGACCTTCCAGAAGACCAAGCCGCGGTCGGGGAAAGTGGCGGTGGAGGTCGGCGAGGCAGCCGGCGAGGATCACTACACCGTCGAGAGACGCGAGGTGAGATTCCATTTATTAATGTACATATTTCAGGACTTACCACTACTTTTCTTACAAGTAAAATAGTAAAAAACTGTTATTAGATTTGTTTTTAATGGTAGTAAATTGAAAAAAGCTATTTCTGTTAATAATAAAAATGAAATTAATAAAACTACAACTCATCATATTAATAGTATACATAGAAAATAAAAGCTTAGAGCTTTTAAGTTCAATTTCTTTAACTGTTTACTAAATGTATAATAACATGTAAACTGTAATACATATTGTGGTCTTTTCAACTTTTTTTTAACTATATACTATTATAAAAAAAATACTACAATACTATACTGTAAGAAAAGATTTTTAAAAAATAGTCAAACAGTGTTTTGTTCCGCAGGGCGGAGCTGGTGCGACGTCAGATGGTGGGCACAGAAAGTCACATTACAGTAATCGGCTTAACCATGGTGTGTGGATATCTACACTCACCCCTACAATGTAACACGGAGCTAAATACACGAATCTTAATTCCCCCCCCCCCAACGCATCAGTATGAGAAGATTTCCCTCGCTAAAAATGCAAAATAAAAATAAACTTTCAATAAGGCAATTTTAATGGTACTTGCCCCCACCCCTAGCTTAGATCATCAGCTAGTGATGCTCTTACCCTCCCCCTATAAATTAGTAAAGGGGTTGTTTTATTCCTTCTTGTATTATACAGAACACAAATTATTTAACTCTCTCTGTCTCTAAGTTTACTTTATTATATGTTGAAAAAAAAATAAAATCTTAGCTCCCTGTTATATTGTTCAACTAAAGTCAAGTTTGATTTGCCGTTTATCTTTTTTATGAAAACTGTCTTTTCTGTAAATCCTTTACTATTTGACAATATAAAAATCAAATAAATCTGTTGCAGAATACTTGAGTGAAATTTTTAAAAGCTATACAAAATCAAAGTTAATTAAATACTTTGTATAATATATAATATAATATAATATAATACAATATAATATAATATAATGTAATATAATATATAAAATCAAACTTGACTTAGAGCTTTTCAAATAATACACTAATTCAGTTAAACATAACTTAATCTAAGATGTTAATTAAAAAAAGGTTTGTCTAAGATTATTTGGTTTATGGTCTTTGGTATTTATTGTAATGCTTTTAATTGGTTTAATAAAGTACAAAAAGACATCATACTTCATACTAATATTATAAATGCGAAAGTTTCGATGGATGTCTCTTAGTTTGTAGCCTAAACGGCTGAACGGATTTCGATGAAATTCGGCATAGATGTAGAGGATAGTCTGGAAGAACACATAGGCTACTCATCTTTGTTTTGTTCTCAATTCCACGCGAACGGAGTCGCGGGCGGAAGCTAGTTTTATATAAATGTTAACTCATAGAGACATTGGATTTAAAAAATAACGTATTAATATTATGTATAAGAAAAAACAAATAGTGCAATAAAAATGTTAACGATTTTGTAGTGACAGGACAAATAGTTGCATTTGACTTCTATACACAAGTATAATGTTAGCCCTTCAAAACAAATTTTGACAGTTTATTTATAAATGTAATGTACAGTATTACCCCAAAAATGTACATACTACTAAAGCAAGTTTTAACTCTGATTGCTTATGGACGTCAACATGGTTGTGTTTTTTTTTTATAAAATATGGTGCAAATCAAGCGAGCGGCCACTTTAATTCGCCAAAATAGCGAAGCTACACTGCCAATAGATATCCACAATTGCTCGCGTTGTCTATCCTTGATCCATAGAGGAGACGCATATAAAGTGGATTTTATTTTTTTATTTTATTGAAATTTATATTTTTCTCCTTGTGCGTCTCCGCCACCATTAATCCAATTTCCCTTCTCATAATTGACTAAAATGGGAAGGGAAAGGGACTAAAATTAAGCCTACATATTTGCATGTATTTGAAACGCTAATTTTTTCTATTACACTCATTGTTTTGCAGACGCAGAAGCTATTCCGGAACCGGAACCGGCGAAGGATACTCCGAATCTGGTGATACCAGAAAAGGCATCATCTTTTAGCATCCATCCAGACCGACTCTGTCTAGATCAGTGTTTTTACTGTGGAGGAAAGTTTGGCCTGTTTGACACACCCTGTCATATCGCACAGATGAAGAGCACAGAACGACAGAGAAAAGTTCTTGACAGTATGTATTTGATGATAGTATGTTTCTGATTGATTCAGGTTTAGTGAGTTTGAGTGTATTTTTCTATTTGATTAGCTGACTGGCGGATGCATCCAGGTAAGTATTTATTTTGTATAATTTTAATACAAGTAGATGTCAATATATAAAACCATTAGCAGAATTAAAAAAAGAAATCAATTGTATTTAATTCTAGTACTACTAATTATTTTTGCTATTAATAATTGCAATAAAATGGTTTTTTCTGACATTTTTATCAACAAAAGCTGGCTTTGTTTTCTCTATTTTGTTTTATTCTCAGAATAAATTAAAAAGTTAAATAGCATAATGGCTATATCTTCAATTTTTGGTTCTAATTAATATTTGGTGTTGGGTCAAAGTAATACAAATTTGTCTATGGTTTTAAAAACTTCTATGATATAGAAATCACTCATTTGTCTTAAATGTTTTCATTTATCATTGAAGATGACTTTAGAGTACTTTTAACTTTTGCAGATGAAGAGAAGCTGACCATAGACAGTTGTCTCTGCGACGCATGCTATAGACACGTGGATAGACGCGCCAACTGCCCCTCGTATCGCAAAAGGCCACTTGTCAAGCCCCTCACCCCGCAACTGCCCACACAGCCTGAAAATGTGTAAGTACATGTATTTATATGACATTATAAATACTTTATTTCAGTGTTTAAATCCCAAACTTTCAATTACGAATGTCAAAATTCAAATTCAAATAAAAATACCTTTACTATTGGCTAAGAATTTAAGTAATCGTGGCAAAGTTGCTACTTTTCTGCTATTTAGTTGTAATTGTTGTCCTTTTCTCGTAGAAACTTTTTCCAATTTAATCACCCCTAAGTTTAATACCGTGAGAATTGTAGTCTAAAGCGTATCATAAGCGTAGGGGTTTTAATTAAAAAAATAAATTGATTTGGTAATGTAAACTTTCGTTGCTTTACACATATGAAGTACTGTGCCGACCCTCTATAGGACAAGTGCAAGTTGATGTCACATGAAGTATCTCCATTATAAAACAAAAATATTTGCAGCAATGAAAATCCTCCCAGTCCTACGGAAGATGACAGTTCAGAGGAGACGAAGTTGCTGCGTGAGGTTCGAACCGCGACTTGCCACACGGCGGGCTGCGGCGCTGGCGCTGAGCACTCGGTGCGCAGGAAGTGGCTCATCAAGATGCGATCCAGTGTCAATAAACTGGTAAGCAAATAACTATTTTAATAATACAGTTTATACTTGCCAATTTTAACTAATAATGTAGTGTATACTTGCCAACTCTACCTAATAATGTAGTGTATACTTACCAAATCTCTAATAATGTAGAGTGTACTTGCCAATTAAGTAACAATTTAGTGTATACTTACCAACTCGGTAATAATGTAGTGTATGGTTGTCAACTAACTAGAATTGTAATATAAACTTGCCAACTCTCACAAATAATGTAGTGTATATTTTCTATTTTTAATTAATAATGTAGTGTATACTTGCCAGCTACCTAGTAATGTAGTGTAAACTTGCCAACTCTCACAAATAATGTAGTGTATATTTTCCAATATTAATTAATAATGTAGTATATACTTGCCAACTTTAAATAATAATGTAACCTTTAAACGACAGAGTAGAAGGTGTACAAAACTAGACATTTCCTTTTCTTATGCACTATCTTTCATGTCTTTATATGAAAAGGGACTAAAATAACTCTTCCGGCACTCAAACATTTAAGTTTACGTGGAATTGTTGTAGCATAACAAAATGTATCTTATTCTGTCGTGTTCCAGTTGAAATTGGAGTGCGACTACCCCGGGCTGCACACGATCCCGCTGTGCGCGGAGCACTACCGCGCGCTGGCGCCGCTCATGGCCTGCGTGCTGTGTCGCCGCCGCATCACCAAGCACCACAACGTGCACTTTATACATCATGTGAGTCCACACAC